TAATTAATTAAGTAATATATTTTTTTTAAATTTTTATTGATATATATATATATATATATACTGTATATATAGTAATTACATTTACTATACAGTAATAATATTTAAACAAAAATGTTAAACAATTTTTAATTTTAAAACAATTAAAAATAATTGATATGTATATATATAGATAGTAGAGTTATAGCAATTAAACAAAAATAAATAATTAAATTATGATTTAATTGATTGATTGTATGATTATATCTCTAATAAAGACAGTAATGGCCGACAAACCGACTGATGTTTTGTGTGGTAGACATCCGTCAGCGAGAAGTACTTCATTGCGTTTAGTCCGTAGACGTCGAGGTTGTTGTTGTTGTCGGTGTTGTTGTTGTTTGTGTCGATAGTATTGATAAACATAACAACCGTTACGATCATTGATCCTATCGTTGATAATCAATGTCAGCCAATGTTTGTTATCAATAGTAAACTCTTTGAAACCAATTATACCGCAAAAGGCAACTGAAAATAGATTTTATTTTATTTTTAATTATATTTAATAATTTAAAAACAACTGTAATTTTATGTGTGTATGTGTATGTGTATGTGTATGTGTATGTGTATGTGTATGTGTATGTGTATGTGTATGTGTATGTGTATGTGTATGTGTATGTGTATGTGTATGTGTATGTGTATGTGTATGTGTATGTGTATGTGTATGTGTATGTGTATGTGTATGTGTATGTGTATGTGTATGTGTATGTGTATGTGTATGTGTATGTGTATGTGTATGTGTATGTGTATGTGTATGTGTATGTGTATGTGTATGTGTATGTGTATGTGTATGTGTATGTGTATGTGTATGTGTATGTGTATGTGTATGTGTATGTGTATGTGTATGTGTATGTGTATGTGTATGTGTATGTGTATGTGTATGTGTATGTGTATGTGTATGTGTATGTGTATGTGTATGTGTATGTGTATGTGTATGTGTATGTGTATGTGTATGTGTATGTGTATGTGTATGTGTATGTGTATGTGTATGTGTATGTGTATGTGTATGTGTATGTGTATGTGTATGTGTATGTGTATGTGTATGTGTATGTGTATGTGTATGTGTATGTGTATGTGTATGTGTATGTGTATGTGTATGTGTATGTGTATGTGTATGTGTATGTGTATGTGTATGTGTATGTGTATGTGTATGTGTATGTGTATGTGTATGTGTATGTGTATGTGTATGTGTATGTGTATGTGTATGTGTATGTGTATGTGTATGTGTATGTGTATGTGTATGTGTATGTGTATGTGTATGTGTATGTGTATGTGTATGTGTATGTGTATGTGTATGTGTATGTGTATGTGTATGTGTATGTGTATGTGTATGTGTGTGTATGTGTATGTGTATGTGTATGTGTATGTGTATGTGTATGTGTATGTGTATGTGTATGTGTATGTGTATGTGTATGTGTATGTGTATGTGTATGTGTATGTGTATGTGTATGTGTATGTGTATGTGTATGTGTATGTGTATGTGTATGTGTATGTGTATGTGTATGTGTATGTGTATGTGTGTGTATGTGTGTGTATGTGTATGTGTATGTGTATGTGTATGTGTATGTGTATGTGTATGTGTATGTGTATGTGTATGTGTATGTGTATGTGTATGTGTATGTGTGTGTGTGTATGTGTATGTGTGTGTGTGTATGTGTATGTGTATGTGTGTGTGTGTGTGTATGTGTATGTGTGTGTATGTATGTGTATGTGTATGTGTATGTGTATGTGTATGTGTATGTGTATGTGTATGTGTATGTGTATGTGTATGTGTGTGTGTATGTGTGTGTATGTGTGTGTATGTGTATTTAAACCTACTGTCCTCCATAAACAAATCCATGTCCGAGCCATCGATACTACCCGTAAACTTTTGGTCAACCATTTCCCGACACTCTCTCAACATATTTGTACAAAACATTTCAAACAACTTTCCCACTGATTGTTGATTATGTTTAGCAATCATTGATTGTATCTCTCGGTCACAGTTAAGCTAAACACACATAAATAATATTTTATATTTTACTGTATTATATCTATATATGTTTATTATAAGCCATTACATACTTGTAATGCAATTTGCAAATACAATACTTGATGTGATAGCCAATACCTTTGATAGCCGCGGCCAGTCATCCATAGCCAACACTGGTCACTGATATACGGACACCCGGCTCTCAATTGACCGATACATATGTCGGATGTGTTGTTTTCATTCATAGGTATCAATAATGTGGACAATCGTTGTGTGTATTCATAGATGGGATTGACTTTACGATTAGTATAGTCCGGGTTCAGACCAAACATACCTTTTTTCAATATGAATCCAATTGCTATTCAAAAAATTAAAAATATAATTAAATAGTAAAAAATAAAAAATAATTAAATAGAAAAATAAAAAATAATTAAATAGAAAAATAAAAAATAATTAAATAGTAAAAAATAAAAAATAATTAAATAGAAAAATAAAAAATAATTAAATAGAAAAATAAAAAAAATAAATAGTAAAAAATAAAAAATTTATTTTTAATAAACAAAAAATAGATATTTTTTTAAAATATAAAAGTCTAGAAAATTAATTTAATAAAACAAAAACAAAATTATTATTTGTTTTAAAAATTTTTTTGAATAAAACTAATACTACAGTAAAAAAAATTATATTAATTGAAAAGTTGTTTATTAAACAATAAACTACTAAACCAAAAAAATACACAAAAAATAGTTAATTAAGTAATTAATTAGTTAGTTAATTTGTTAGTTAATTAGTTAGTTAATTAGTAAGTAAATTAATTAGTTAATTAGTTAGTAAATTAATTAGTTAATTAGTTAGTTAATTAGTTAATATACATTGATAATATTGGGGATCATTTTTAGCAATTGTTGGCAACGCTATCGATATTAATTGATCCGCTTTTCCGATCATATCGTCAATGATTTCAATCAATAAACTAAACCGATTGTTGGGTCGGGTATTATCGGGGATCGGGTGTCCATCACTACTACCAGTCCTTAGTAGTAGTCTAGTCTTAAGCACCGATATCTGGTCGCTGAGCACACGTAGACCATAGAGACCGTCGACAATCTGGTCGCCCGAGTGTTGGTCATAATAGACAAACAATTTGTATATAAAATTCACAGATTTTTCTAATAAATCAAAATTTTCGGCCGAGATTTGAATGGTTGGACTACTACTCAATAGAGCCGCCGATAAATCAATTGCCGGCCGATTATTGTTGACTACCACTACTAATTGATGGCCAGTTGTCTGTATGCTGTTGTCTACCAATTCATGAACAGGTAGTTCATTGCTTGTATAGACTGTCCATATTATATCCAATTTTAATAAATGATAATAAATATACAATGATATCAATGATAGTGATATTATTAGAAATTTAAATGATTTGTTAATAATTTTCATAATATTTTTTTTTATATATATTTTAGTTTTAAAATAACTAAAATTATTATTTTTTTTAATAAAAAAAAGCTGAGAAATAATTAATAATAATTAAAATATTGTTTTGTTTTGTTTAACTATTAATTTAATTAAATAATTATTGTTTTTTTAGTATTTATTAAACTAGAAGTTTGTTATTTGAGATGAATTTGACTTTTTATTGTTTAATTGATTTTTTTAAATAAAAACAATTATTAATTCAATTTTACAAACTTACCATGATAATGCTAAAAAAATTATTTGCTAATATTTATATAGCAATATTTTTTTAAAAAAATATATATATAGTTTAATAGTTAACTGGTTATACTGATTATGAATTAATAATTTGTTTAATATTTATAAATTTTGATTATTTATTAATAATTATTTTTTGTTTGTTTCTAACTTAACTTAATAATAATTTAATAATAAAAATATTGTTGGCAACGCTATCGATATTAATTGATCCGCTTTTCCGATCATATCGTCAATGATTTCAATCAATAAACTAAACCGATTGTCGGGTCGGGTATTATCGGGGATCGGGTGTCCATCACTACTACCAGTCCTCAGTAGTAGTCTAGTCTTAAGCACCGATATCTGGTCGCTGAGCACACGTAGACCATAGAGACCGTCGACAATCTGGTCGCCCGAGTGTTGGTCATAATAGACAAACAATTTGTATATAAAATTCACAGATTTTTCTAATAAATCAAAATTTTCGGCCGAGATTTGAATGGTTGGACTACTACTCAATAGAGCCGCCGATAAATCAATTGCCGGCCGATTATTGTTGACTACCACTACTAATTGATGGCCAGTTGTCTGTATGCTGTTGTCTACCAATTCATGAACAGGTAGTTCATTGCTTGTATAGACTGTCCATATTATATCCAATTTTAATAAATGATAATAAATATACAATGATATATCTAACTTAACTTAATAATAATTTAATAATAAAAATATTTTTATTATTAGTTTTAATACTATTATTATTATTATTATTATTATTATTATTATTATTATTATTATTATTATTACTACTACTACTACTACTACTACTACTACTACTACTACTACTACTACTACTACTACTACTACTACTACTACTACTACTACTACTACTACTACTACTACTACTACTACTACTACTACTACTACTACTACAACTACTACTACTACTACTACTACTAATATATAATATATATTACTTAATAAATTTCTATACTATTTTTTGATTGATTGTTGTGTTTGTAAAATTATTAATATTATTATTATTATTAAAAAATTAATTTTTATCATTAATTAATTAATTAATTACTAATTAATTTTGTAAAATGCTTTATTTATTAAAAGAAAATTTGTTTTAAACAAAAAAAATTATTATTATATAATTATATAATCAAATTGACAATCATAATGATTGACTATTAATAATATATAATTATAAGTTACTAATAATAATAATAATTATAATTTTAAACAAATATTAAAAATACCAAAAATAATTAAATAAAAAAAACAAAAAATTAAATAAATAAATCAAATTTCCGTATACATTGCAAGTGTATGTAAACCATAGGTGAGAGAGGGAGGGGAGGGGGTGTTAGGGGGTTAGTAGTTATAATACTACTGTTGTTTTGATTCGCCATTGAAACCATTGATAATCTTTTTAATTAAATCATTGAATTTCTGTAAAAATTCATTAATTTTTTTCAAATCTTCGGGAATTTTATTTTTGGCCAAACGTTTCGCCTGTTCCTGGACTACACAATCAAAATTACGGCCAATTCGGCCGAAAAAATCGGGTAACAACTGTTGAAATTTCGGTAAATCATTGGCTGATAAATCTCCGGCAATACTAGTCGATAGCCTAACCAATAGATCGCCCAATTGTCGGGTAAATATTGGAGTACCTGAACGTTGTTTACCACTGGTTAACGATTCAAATGTTTGATGTATTTCCCGGGATATTGTGTCCAATAGCCCGGCGGCCAAACCAATCAAATCGGATAGTTGTTTGTTTTTCGTGGCCAGTATTGCTTGATAGGCACGCATACATCGGGTCAATGAGCTAATCAGGCCATTACCCAGGTCATCTTGCAATATAAATCCTAGATCCTTATCCAGATTAGCCTGACCCAGATCACTAAACAGTTTGTTCAGCAATTGACTTAATTGATCAAATTGATCATGATACTTTTGGGCCAGTACAGGTAGCTGATGGCGTATGAATAGTTGATAGACATTGAACTTGTTTTCAGGACAATTACATCCATGTCCTCCTCCTCCTACTCCTCCTCCTCCTCCATGATGTCTAAATGATGTTAGACTGTCCACTAATTAAATAAATAAATTATTTTTAATTAATTAATTATAATATTTAGTAATAAATAAAACTAATTAATTAAATAAATAAAAATTATAATATTAAGTAGAAATAAAACAAATTAATTAAAAAAATAAATAAATTATTTTTAATTAATTAAATAAATAAATAATTATAATATTAAGTAGAGATAAAACTAATTAATTAATTAAATAATTAAATAAATAAAATTAATTAATTAATAAAATAAATTAATAAAATAAATTAATAAAATTAATTAATAAAATAAATAAATAAAATTAATCAATAAAATTAATTTATTAATAGCTAAACAATTTATTAATAAAAATAATTTATTAATTTTTTTTATATATAGTACCTTGAGCAATGTTAATAACTATAGCACCGATAAGCAAAATTATAGCTAGTACAATTTTTGCCATTATTTAGTTTGCCAGTATCACTAATTGTTAAAACTCTATAAAAATTTAAAAAAATAAATGTTTTAATAAAATTAATAAATTTATTTTAATTAATACAATATATTATTGAGTTAAAAAATAAGCAATTAAAATATATACCTGTTATATTAAAATTTTGTATATATAGAAATTATTCAATTAACCCAGATATATTAGATAATATTATTTTTTAAAATAAATCAAGCAACTTATATACCCCTTAATTGCATGACTAATTGATGTCTACATATACACATACACACACATACACACACATACATACACATACACACATATACACACACATACACACACATACACACATACACACACATACACACACATACACACACATACATACACATACACACACATACACACACATACACACACATACATACACATACATACACATGCACACATATACACACACATACACACACATACACACACATACACACACATACATACAAATACACACACATACACACACATACACACACATACATACATAAAAATTATGGAAAATTTTAAAATTTTAATAAAATCATTTTAAAATTTTCGTAATCATAATAATTAAAAATACATTATTATTATTATATTTTAAAATAATTATAACATTAAGTTATTGTTTTTAGTAATCAAATAGTTATTTAATTGTTTATTAAATTATTTCTATAATATTAATTAATCATATTTTATTTTGAAAATTTAACCATATTTAAAATTTCATAAAATATACTATAAATATATAATTATTTATATATTTTTAGTTTATAAAATATTATATATATATATTAATGTTTTTTAGTACTGCATTATTACATGTACTTTATTATTGTTTCATTAAAAATTAATTAGTCAATGATTTTGTAATTTTATAATTGATTACACCTATCATAGAAACTTTACTTTTAAACTTAATATTTTTATTAAATTTATTAAATAATAAAATTTATTTCAATTAAATTTATTATAATATTTAACTTATAATATTATAAATATATATATATATATATATATTTGATTATAACTTAATAAACATAAACTACTAAATTATTAAATAATAATAATAATATATATTTTTCAATAAAACTTGTTTTATTAAATATTTAAAAAAAACTTATTTAATAAAATAATATTTAAGTACTTTATTTTGTACTTAAAAATTACTTATTTAAATATTACAAAATAAGTTTTTCAGTGATATTTCTAAAATTTTAAAAAACTTAAAAAAACATTGACAAATAATTTATTTTGTTTGTTTAATAAATACATAAATTTATTTATTTAATAATAAGTAAAATATATTACAATAATTAATTTTTTTAAATAATTCAAAATACAAAAAATATATATTTTAAATTGATTTTTATTTTTTTAAAAATTATTTTGGTTGTCTAAATAAAAACAATTTATAAATAAGATAATTAAAAAAAATTGAAAATACATAATTAAATATATATAGCTAAATAATTATAAGTTACCAGTATAGTATTATATGTTTAAAAAAATAAAATGTACAAGCTAAGTTAGTAAATTAAAACAATGATTATAAAATTTTAAATTTTATTAAATGTTTTTATTACAAAATAAATTTTGTTTTTTTTGAAAAACTATGAATCAGTTAATTTTACATTTAATAAAAATTAAATATATGTTTAAATTATATGTTTAATGTATTTCTCAATTAATTAATAGGAAGGGTATATAAATCGCTTAAAAATAATTTTATTAATTATATATTGATATATAGATTATAATTAATAAGTTAATTAAATTTATTTTATAAATTTAATCTATATTAGAGGTATGAATAATTTTTTTTGTATATAATAATATTTATTATTATTATTAAAAATTAATTTATATTTTTATTTAAAATAGATTATTAGACAATAATGGCAAAATATATACAAGCAACAATTTTATCATTATTAATTGCTGCTTTAGTTATTAAAATTGTTCAAGGTATATATTTATATATATATATATATAACAATTTATTTACTAATTATTAATATTATTATTATAATAAATGTTTATTATTATTATTAATTTAAAAAAAATAATTATTAATAATTATTATTATTAATAGTATTAAAAAAATAATTATTTATAATTATTATTAAATTTTTGTTTTATTTAATTAATTTTTGTTTTAATTAAAAAAATAAAATAATATAACCAAGGTAACAACCACCAGCTAAAATGTGATTCAAATGATGATAAGTTCAATATCATTAAGCTATTCAAACATCATCATCTAGCTGAATTAGCCAAAAAAAACATCATCATGCTCAATTTGATGAACTAAGCCGATTGCTGGATAAATTTTTTCAATGACCTAGGTCATGCACCATTGCTAAATGATCTGGGTTTTATACTACACGATGACCCGGTTCAGGCACTCAACGATACAGTCAAACAGCTGTATAAAGATCGTGAACTATTAGACCAGACTAATCAACTGTTGGGGCCAACAATTGGCGGGTATGGGCGCCGATCTATTGGATCGGTTAGCTATGGTTATACAAACAGCTACCGAACCCAATGATTGAGGATAAGCAACGCCAAAGACCCGGACTATACAATCCTAAGCTATTGAAGCTATTGTTTGAATTAAAACTGGAATTATTGAATGAAATTGAATGCAAAAAATTTACCAAAATTTTTGCAATTATTATCCGAAAGTTTTGAGAAAGTTTGCCAAAATTTTCGATGTGTCTTAATTGAACAATTCAAACGTCTAGCGGAATCTAATCCGGAAATTATGAATAAATTTACCGAAATTATCAATAAATTTACCGAAATTAACAATAAATTTACCGAAATTATCGATAAAATTAAAGATTTTATCAAACAGTTTATCGATAGGTTTACTGGTAGTCCTGTAAGCGGCTAATAATCAATAGGTCTACTATTACACCCATCACCCCTCCACCCCCACCCCACCCACACCCCACTAACCCAACCCTAACCTAATCCCAAAAACACACCTACACTTACACAATAGGAGGCTTCAATTTTTTGTTTGTTTAATTAATTTTTGATTTATTTTTATCAAAATTTTTTTAACTAATTTTTTTTATTATAAATTTGTTAATTATTATGAATTATATAATTATTTGTTTTTTTTTTGATTGCTTTAGTTTGTACTGTAGTTTAGATTATTATTATTATTATTATTATTATTAAATATTATTAAAATTATTATTGATTTTTAATTGATTTAGTGTTTATAATATAACTATTTGTTTGTAATATTTTTTTTATTAATCACATTATATTTATAATAATAATAATAATAATTATTATTATTTAATTTCTTTCAATAAACAAATTTGCATTAAAAAATTAATTTTATTATTTTAAATTAAAAAAAATAATTAGATAAAAACTAAATATCTATTTATAGAAATGTTTTTATAAAATAAAATAAATTTTAATATGAAAATTAACTGAAAATAAATTAATATTTTAATCAAAATATATATACAGTATATATAATCTATAATTTTTTTTTAGTTAACTATTTAATTATTTACTAGAAAAATATTGTTTATTAAAAACTTGTTTATTATTAAAAAAAATCAATTATACAATTATATAATTTATTTATAGATTTTAATTATTTTTAATAAAATGCAAATTTAAATAATTATGGTCATAACAATTTTGATGGAAATTATTATAATATATACACAACAAAACAAAATTTATAATATAGTATACTATATTTGGATATGTTTTTTTAATTATTATTTTTTAAAACAAAAAAAAATATTATTTATCATAAAATATTTTTGTAACAACAACGAAAAAATTAAAAATTAATTACAAAAAAAATTATTTATACGGAAATCGTATCCGTTTTTTATTTCAATTGCATCTATAAAAGCAAACAAAAATTCAAAACATATTTAATAATTAATATTTATTTAAAATATTTTTTTAAATTTTAATTTAAAAAAAATAAATCAATCAAAAAATATGCAATCACCAAAATTTAACCTAGCTTCATTGCTATCGATGATATTGTTAGTATTGGTTATTATGATTATGGACCAATTTGCCCATGGTAAGTTATTAGTATATATATTTTTAAAAAAATAAAAAAAACAATTATATCTTAGCTAGTTAATTATTTAATAAAATCTTAATTAATTTTAATTAATTCCAACCCCCCCCCCTAAATTTTTTTTTTGAATAGCTTGTCTACCCCGTGGTAATCGTTGCCAACCCAATGGCAGTTGGGGTAACTGTTGTAGCGGTTATTGTAATAAAAATGCCGGCAATCGTTTTGGTTGGTGTGCCTAAAGCTATACCATCACACTGAGCACCGGGAGGTTTATCGGACACAATATACTTGTAAATGTGTTTATTATAATTATATTTGAATTAATTATTTATTTAAAAATATTGATTTGATTTTTTTGTCAATATTTTTTTTGTTAAACAAAATTATTTTCATTGTATTTAATAGTCTTAAAAAAAATAAATTTCTATCTAATATAATATTATTATTAAATTAAATTAATAGTTTTTTGTGTAATTTATAATATTTTAAATAACTTATAATTTATAGTTTCTTTTAGCTAATTAATGTTTTTTTTATTTGTTTATTATAATTTATAATTTATATTATTTAATTAGCAATATATTACAATAATAATTAAATAAATATACAGATATTTACTGTACAAAACTGATAAATAAATAAAATTTATTATAAAATACATTATTATATATATATATATATTTAATAAAAAATTTTTAAAAATTAAATTTAAAATATTAGTATATATTATTTTAATTTTTATAAAAAATTATATTTTATTTATAAAAATCATTGAAAAATATTCAAATTAACAATTTATAAATTTATTATAATTATAATATTTCTATTAAATTAATAATACATAAAATTAATTTTTTTTATAAAATTTGAATAAATATAATCAATAAATTTTATTTCTTATAAATCAATATTTAATAAAAATTTAATTAACAAAATTTTAATTAATCATATTTTAGTTACACATGATGCATTTAATATTTAATATACAGTAAAATTATTTAAAAAATCAATAAATTTAATTTAGATATTCATAAATAGATTGATTTAATTATTATAAAGAAAAATAATTGTGAGCACCTGTATGTTAACTACATATGTAGTTCCT